GGGGGGGGGGGGCTTAGCCCCAGGAGCTTGACCTTGAACATTTTTTCACACCCTGCAAAAACTTTGTCAATTAATTCATTATCTGACGAACATTTAACAAAACCTATTATTTTATCACTTTCTTTTCCTTTCCTACCTTTGTGCATTTTCTCTCTTCTTTTTATAAAAAAAACACTTAATCAGTTCATTAGTGGGGTCTATGCTGAAGAAAGATTTTATATAAGTCCATTAAAAATTAGATATGTTATATTTCCAAATAAAGCTATTCATTTCAGTCTACTGCACTTAACAGGGGGAAATGTTGCAGTCATTTGTTTAATTACAACTTGCTTAATTATAAATGTTACTGAAATATGACAAAGAACAAATGAATAATTGTCAAACTTTTATTCTGCCAAATGAGTGTGCAGTTGACAGTTTTAATATATGAATAACACTGATATGATATGGAATAAAGGAGTATGTAATTAACAATTACACGACAAAATAACAGTATATATAAAAATTAGGTCTGGGACTTGATTAAAATTTTTAATCTAATTAATTAGAGGCTTTGTAATTAATTAATCTAAATTAATCACATTTTAATCGTTCAGGAAAATGTGCTCTCAAAGCAAAACTTAATTAAAATTATGAGACAGAGAATTAAACATTAGACATAGTTATTACTGTAAAACTAAAGCTTTTAATAAAAAAATGCATTTTAATTAATCAAACGTCACTGTGTGATATGAAACAAAACGCAAATCAACTAAAATTTATAATTACAAATATAAAACACCTGCAAAGGGTTCCTGAGCCTTTAAATAGTCTCTCTGTCTAGTTGAATTACTGAAATAAATTTGACTTTGCACTAGATTCTAATTTTTCCAGTTTCACTTGTTTGTATAATTGGGAGTTTTTATTAGCATTTCTACTCATAATTTAGTAAAAACACATAAATAATAATCCTTCAAAATGACAGTAGAACAGGCACAAATATGGTCTAGGACTTAAATGTACTAACTTTTAACACCAGAGCAGGCGTGGCATATTCTGAGAATGATCAGGAACACTAACTGGTTCCAGTTGGATGACTGGACCAACCTTAAGCATCCGCCCCTTTGCTGATGACAGCTTCAACACACCTCGTTGCTTAATGATAGTAATGCATGTGATGTTTAGACAGAGACTCGTCTCAGAAACGTATAACTCCGCGACAGAATTGTTTAGAAAATCATCAGAAAAGTTTCAGTGTTTCTGTTTTAACTTAAACTTCTGTTTTCAACTTTAAGACACATTGCTTGTGCTTGTTTACAGAGTAGTGAGAACACGGAGCGTTCTCCCAGCAGCAGCCAGGTGCCTCTCGTTTGTCTGACTACTTTCATAAACTACTGTTAGGACAAAGAATTATTCTGTCTGGTGCTTTCAGTGCTGCACAGATGTTACGTAAATGTTAAAAATATAGCTTACCGCAACTTTTGTAAAGTTTCCAGTGCCACCGGGCAGCCGCAGCAGAGACGATCTCTGAAAAATGTCCGCGACACGGACTCCGCCGTTGTCTGGAAGTTAGTTTTTTTTTTTTCAAGTTAAGAAAAGAGGCGGACGGGTTTCCTAAATCCTGCATCAGTCAATGCAAGGCAACTTCTTTCCGTTTTTATTCGTTTGTAGCCATTAGCACTATGCATTGTTGTGTGCGTCAGTGATATTCTGTCTACGAGGAAATCGTGCAATGACAAAGGTTCCGCCGTGCTCGAAATGCAAGCTGCGATTAAATGCGTGAAATTTTTTTAACGTGTCATTTTTTCTAATTAATCATAATAACGCATTAAAGTCCCAGCCCTAAAAACCTCAAAATGATAGGGGGGCTGAAGCCCCCCTAAAACGGACCTAACGACGTCAGCACGATAAGGGTTAAACGAGAACTGCTTCTACAGTCTGGTCCTGTTGGTGGTCTCCTTTAGAGGACAGCAGCAGCCCAGGAGGTAGAGCGGGTTGTCCAGTAATCAGGTTGCAGGTTAGATCCCGCTTCCGACCAGTGAATTCAATTTGAATTGAATTGAATTGAATGCTGCTGTTGTGTCCTTGCCCACCTTGTCTGCTGGTGGTGGTCAGAGGTAGATACCTGTGCTCGGCAGCCTCACCTCTGTCAGCGCGCCCCAGAGCAGCTGTAGCTACATTGTAGCTCATCACCATGAGTGTATGAATGGGTGAGTGACTGATTGTGTTGTGTGAAGCACCTTGGGGGGTTGTAGAGTCCTAGAAGGCGCTATGCTAATACAGGATATTTAACATTTATGGTGTGGGACTTTGGTTCTGCTTCCAGCAGAAGAGCTCTGGTACCTAATGGGCCATTCCCATCTGTACCGGGTCGGCCCAGGCCGGGTAGCGTAGGTTGTTTACATATCTGGGTGGCCTGGTATTTTTCCGGGCCAACCAAGGCTCATTCTCAGCCCTCTTCTCGAGGGGGTCTGCTTCAGGCCGACCAGGGCCAACACACCCACTGCTGACAGCAAATTCACACCTTCCATTAGAGCAAGCCTCTGATTGGTGGGTAGAGTCAGCCCACATGGGCTTAAGACAAGGATGTGTGGAATCAACCGGGCCAGGCTGGGGCCGACTGGGGCTACCCGGCCCGGGCCGACCCGGTACAGATGGAAATGGCCCATTAGTGTCTTGTTTCGGAGGGACGGTGGACAATTGCTGCTCCTCCTCATCAGAGAGTTTCAGCTGATGTGGTTCCAGCATTTGACTGAATGGCTCCTGGTCACCTCCCACTGAACGGATAGCAGGCCCATAACTTTCCCAGGATCCTTCAGGAGGAGCTGGAGAGTGTTGCTGTGGAGACGGGACATCGGTGATCCCACCTGAGGAAGGGACAGCTCGGAAATTTGGTTTTTGAAATCAAAAAAAGGAAATCACTGCAACTTGTGTGAAACAGATAAAATCCTAATATTACTTTCACTGGAAAAAACCAGAAACATTTACCGTATTTTCCGGACTATAAGTCGCACTTTTTTTCATGGTCTGGCTGGTCCTGTGACTTATATACCAAATTATACATACCGCGCTGCTGCGGGCCGGCTCCGGACCAGGAATGAGCTCCCCTGCTCCGCCATCACCTGCTGGAGACTGTTGCGTGCTGCAGCAGCCTGTGGCGGGGTGCTGCGGGCGCTCTCCCCGCCCGCTGGGAGGGTTTGAAACTCCGCCATCCTCTGCTGGAGACCGTGGCGCGCTGCTGCGCCCTGATTCCTTATTCTGTTATTGTTACCGGTACTTGTCTTGCAATGTGAAACGCTTGGTCTCAGATTTTGTAAGAGAAATAATCAAATTTCCCCCCAAAATGCGACTTATATTTGTTTTTTTCTTCTTAGTTATACATTTTATGGCTGGTGCGACTTATACTCCGGAAAATACGGTAGTTTGTTTATTTTTGTTGAATCGCTAATGATGAACTGCTTACCTGAAGCTTTGGTTTATTATGCTCTGGATCTGAATCGGATGTGAGGAGGAACGTCTTCCTAGGTTGTGTTTGGATCCGTGTTTTCCTCCTAGTCAGATCTTTGCAACAAGCGGCTGCTTTCGAAATGTTTTTAAAGGTTTTTGTTGGTTTGAGTAACAAAGTCTGGAGGATAATTCAGCTGTGATGATTAGAAATGATAGTCATGGAAAGCATCTCGATTAAACAATGATTTGTTTGGTGTGATCTGGACGAGACTGGGAGTTTTAGGGATCCTGAAAGTGGAATCGACAGTGTTTGTTTGTTTGTTTATTTGTTTGGGGTCTCATACCTCCACAGAGCCTGCATGCCGGCTTTCCTCTCTTTGTCCAGTATTTTATCCACTCTGGATCTTATTACAGCAGCTGACTGAATCCCGCCTCATCAGATCTTCCTCCTCTTCCTCCTTTTCTTTATTTTCTGGCCCTCTTTGTTCAGCCCGTCCTCCCCTCATTTCCTTCTGGGTTTGTAATCGCCGTCGGCTCGCTGGCATGGCGAGTGTTCACCGGCTCGCTGTTAATGCTTCTGATTATCTACAGACTAAAGATACACGAGAAGAGTGGAGCAACACTTGAGACGCACAAAGGAATGTGTTTCACCTGATCATGTTCATTTATGAAACCCATCAGGAGGGCCAGAGCCCAGGTTTTGTTTCAGACCTGAAGGAAAACATCTAGTTTCGTGTGATTTTCCTGTAAAAAGATCACTGATTTGATTAATATCACAAAAAACATGAAATATGTCAGGGAACATTAATACAAATGTTCTTATTATGTGGTTGGTTTGTCTGTGCTGCAGGACAAACAAACAGAAAACGGTCCTAAACGCATTCTCAAACTGAAAAACTTAAACATGAAGCTTTAAAGTCATACTAGGCAACCTTTTCACATTTCAAAGTCATTTTCTTGAGCCAGCATGTGCTAAAATGACTCTTTACAGGATTCATGAAACGTCTTTCAGACCCCCAACATGCCCTGTGGTCAGAATACCGCACCTGCAACTTCAGAGTGCCGGTCTGGTCTGTTGGAAAAAATGGAGCGAACATACCTGGCGCTGGAACCTGCGTCCAGCGCGTTTCCTGCATGTTTTAGATCATGAACACAGCTGATTAATGTAGTGAATAATCACTCCTGTAGACACTAATGAAGGCCGGGAGACGTTTCAGCTGTTGCTTGTCCATGCAGGGTCGCGGGGGGCTGGCTCCAGTGGTCAAAGGGGCAAACAGGCGGGGTACAGCCTGCAGGTCGTAGTAGCTGTCAGTAAGATAAAGAGCCAAAATCCAGAGATTTGCCTAAACATCGAAGTTTCAAAGCTGAACAAAGTTGAAGCACAAAGTATTTTTTAAATCTTCTGCATTCATCTCTAAAGAGCCAAAAGTTTAACAAAAAGGCTGGGACGTCCTGAATAAGATGCACGTTGGTCTGATAATTTGGTTAAAATTGTACAAAAACACACGGAAGAATCAATAATAAATATTTATTCAAATGTTGCTTTATGACCCATGAAGGTTGTTTGTTTGCAGAACTCGGCTCTGACTCTGACCTGTGAGCATCCAGACTGTTGGATCAGTCGCCTCCCGCTGACCTCTGACCTCTCAGCAGCCAACTGCACCATCTACAGTCGAGGTGAGTTTACGGACCTGCAGGATGACGGGAAACGCTTTCGCCTCCACCTGAACTCGGTTCTGTTTTCAGGTGACGAGCTGTTCTGTAAGGTGATCCGAGAGATTCCAGCTGGTGGAAAGCTTCTGGCTACCCTGTCGCCTCCTCCACCCCTCTCATCCACCTCCTCCTCCTCCCACCTGACCCAGCCCTCTCCTCCGCTCAGCCTTTTCACACAGAAACCACCAGCAATGAAGGAGGAGCCACCATATCCGGCGGCGCTGAGGTCCGACATCCAGCTGCTCCCTCAGCAGGCCGGCATGGCCGCCATCCTCGCCACCGCCGTCGTCAACAGTGAGTCTGGGTGGAGTCCTGCACAAAACAACAATCTTTAATGGAAATGATCCATATGACACATTGCTCATTCAGAGATGCCTTTTACCCGGTGACCTTCTCTTATTGGAGGTTTCAGAGTTCTGGTTCTGTAACTGGTGAAACATCGAGTCCTGATCCAGATGTGCATTCCCACATCGTATATTAGGAGTTTTTTAACTGTTTACTTTGTAAAGTAGAACTGATTTTATTTTTTCGGGGGGGGGGGGGGGGTGTCTATCATGGTAGCCATGGCAACACTTCTAATGCATTTCTGTTATCTAGCTTTATGTCATCATTAGCATGCCAGTGTTAACCGAGAGGCAGGGGGAGGAGTTAACTCCAGAGAAGTGTCTTCTAAATGTGCAAAAGCAGAAAGATGGAATCTGAAACATATGTAGCTGAAGGTCCACCACGACTCCCAAGGGTCAGAACCTTCTGATCAGCGTCTCTGCCTCCTCATTATGATCAGTATGAAATGGATCAGAGCTGTATTCAAACTGCTGTGGCGTAGCAGCGTAATGCTTCATTTGTACACTAGATGGCAGTGTTCCTCTTTATACAGACAGTTTTTATCCTTGTGCTGCCTGCAACCCTGGACAGTTTCCTGTTGGCCTGCCACTGCCAACACACACACACGCACACACACACACACACACACACACACACACACACACACACACACACACACACACACACACACACACACACACACACACACACACACCAGGCCTGAAGGTGATCAAAATCACCTCATGATCATAATTGTCTTTAATGCAATACAGGTGGACTAAAGCCCTATAAAATGTATTTCAGTTTTTTTTTCTGGTCTTGTTGTTGCCCTAGACTGTGAGCGTTCCTTATTGTAATATGATTAAAAACACGTTATTATATTATTGGATGGATGGATGGATGGATGGATTAGCTCATGGCTGGTGAATGGATGGATGGATAGATGGATGGATGAACTCATGGCTGGTTAATGGATGGATGGATGGATGAACTCATGGCTGGTTAATGGATGGATGGATGGATGAACTCATGGCTGGTTAATGGATGGATGATGGATGGATGGATGAACTCATGGCTGGTTAATGAATGAATGGATGGATGGATGAACTCATGGCTGGTTGATGGATGGATGGATGGATGGATGGATGAACTCATGGCTGGTTAATGGATGGATGGATGGATGGATGAATGGATGAACTCATGGCTGGTTAATGGATGGATGGATGGATGGATGAACTCATGGCTGGTTAATGGATGGATGGATGGATGGATGGATGGATGAACTCATGGCTGGTTAATGGATGGATGGATGGATGGATGAACTCATGGCTGGTTAATGGATGGATGATGGATGGACGGATAAACTCATGGCTGGTTAATGGATGGATGGATGGATGGATTGATGGATGGATGAACTCATGGCTGGTGGATGGATGGATGGATGGATGAACTCATGGCTGGTTAATGGATGGATGATGGATGGACGGATAAACTCATGGCTGGTTAATGGATGGATGGATGGATGGATGGATGAACTCATGACTGGTTAATGGATGGATACATAGACAGATGGATGGATGGATGGATGGATGGATGGATGGATGGATGGATGGATGGATGAATGGATGGATGGATGATAGACGGACGGACGATAGACGGACGGACGGACAGACGGACGTGTTTTTACTTCAGGTCACACATAGAAAACAGTCGACGGGCGGCGGACTTGACCAGCTGATCAGAACTTTGCTTGAACAATGCTGGTTTTTCGTGTTTTAATACGTTTCAGAGGACATATTTCCGTGTAAGGATTGTGGGATCTGGTACCGCAGCGAGAGGAATCTGCAGGCCCACCTGATGTACTACTGCGCTAGCCGGCAGAAGCAGCCAGCGGCAGCCTCTTCACCACCGCAGGACAAACCTAAGGACTCGTACCCCAACGAGCGTGTCTGCCCCTTCCCACAGTGCAACAAGAGCTGCCCCAGCGCCAGCTCTCTGGAGATCCACATGCGCACCCACAGCGGTGAGGTTCAGGTTTATGACGACGGGAACTGCGTGACTGGGATTTGGTTTGACCTCCTGCTGTCTGTTTGTCCACAGGCGAGCGTCCGTTTGTCTGCCTCATCTGCCTTTCAGCCTTCACCACTAAAGCAAACTGTGAGCGCCACCTGAAGGTCCACACCGACACCCTGAACGGGGTCTGTCATGGCTGTGGCTTTGTGTCCACCACCAGGGACATTCTCTACAGCCACCTGGTCACCAGCCACATGGTGTGCCAACCTGGATCTCGCAGTGAGGTCTACTCTCCTGGACCGGGCCTTCCCAAGCTGCCACTGTCCACCGGTAAGTCCAGCATGACTGGTTCAGGTCTCTGGATTCAACGAGCTGGTCCACAGCATCTCTAATCCTGCATGTTCTCATCAGGTCTGAGCCCAGGGGACTCCGGTGTGGTGCTGAAGTGTCAGGTATGTGGACACAACTCGGACTCCCCCTCCCAACTGCAGCAGCACGTTCGAACCCACCTGGAGGTCAGAGTTCCTGCTGAGAGGAGCCCCACTCCTCGTCAGAGCACCCCCTCGTCGGTGGAACAGCCCCAGGTGCCCCCGCTGGAGAGAGAACCCCTCGCATCGGTTCCCAAACCAGACTCCTCTAGCCCTGGCACAAATGGAGGCTCAGCCACACCTCGAGACTACAGTCCCAACACCCTGACCACGGACCTGAAAATAAAGGAGGAGCCGCAGTCGGAGTCTGAGACAGAAGAGCAACAAATGGAGCTGAAAGAAGATGGAGAGGAGGAGAAAGTCGGTAGAGAGGAGGAGGTCCAGGATGCAGGAAAAAAGACAAAAGAAGAATCAACTGTCTCCGCTCTCAGCTGCCAGACATCAAACTCTCCCAAGAGTCCAGCTAACACAACTGTCAAGGCAGAACCAACCAGTCCCACTCCTGGTTCCAGTCCTGCCCACGTAGGAGGAACAGGCTCAGCGGTTCCAGGAGCAATGTTCCTGCCTCAGTTCATGTTCAACCCCGAGGCAGCAATCCTACCCCAGGCTTCGGAGATCCTAGCCAAGATGTCGGAGATGGTCCACAGCCGGCTGAAGCAGGGCCAGACGGTGGTTCAGAACAGCCCACCTGCCTTCTTTGCTTCTGGACCGACTCCAGCTACAGCCACCGGTACTCCACCACACAAAGGAGCCACCTGCTTCGAGTGTGACATCACGTTCAATAACATCAATAACTACTATGCACATAAGAGGCTGTACTGCTCCAGCAGACACCAGGGAGACAGCTCAGGATCTGGATCAACAGTGCCAGGACCGACACCGTCCAGTGGGCCGCACGGCTCGTCCCCTCAGGTCGGAACGTCGAGCAGAGCAGCCTCTGCCTCTCCAGCTGACTCCGAGCCTCCTGCAGGAAGTGGAGCAGCAGAGTCCAAGAGGCTAGTGGAAGTGAAGGTGGAACAACCAGCAGGAAGAGATGGAGTGTCCTCCTCCTCTGAAGGGGAGGGTGGAGGAGGAGGAGGAGGAGGAGGAGGAGGAAGAGCAAGCGAAGGCAGCCAGAGTCCTGCTAGTGGCTCTGCAGAGGACCATGAAGATCACCCCAACAAAACCTTCTGCGAAGCCTGCAACATCCGCTTCAGTCGTCATGACAACTACACTGTCCACAAACGGTTCTACTGTGCGTCCCGTCATGACCCATCCAACCAGCGGGCTGGGCACACGTCCAAGACCGCCAATGCTGCAGCTTTTCTTCCTCAGCCCATCCGCACGCGCAAGAGGAAGAAGATGTATGAGATCCACATGGCCAGAACCGAAGCGCTGGCGAACGCCGCCGCCGCTGCTGCAGCCACTTCTGCAGCCTCAGCACCATCTCCCTCTGTTCTTGGCTTGGTGGTGAAACAGGAAGTTTCTCCCGGTGGTGCAGGTGGCTCCAGCCCTGAAGGGGATGGCCCCATTGACCTGAGCAAGAGGCCCCGTCTGAGAGACGCTGCTCAGCGCATCAGTGGCAACAGCGTCCTCCCAGCTCTGCCTCTGACCGACTACCATAAATGCACAGCCTGCAGCATCAGTTTCAACAGCATAGAGAACTACCTGGCCCATAAAACCTACTACTGCCCTGCCACCACCCTGCAGCCCCACACCTTAGAGCAGCTACACCGGCTCAAGAGGTCGTCATCCACCTCTCCTAAAAGCAGGCCTCAGCAGGAGCGACTGGACCTCCTTCACCCTGCTGAAGCTAAAGCTCTGCCTGCTGAGTGGGTCACCCAGGCTCCGGGAGCCTCACCCAGCCCTCGCCCTTCCGCCTTACCAGCTTCTGGAGCTACATCACCTTCACATACGAGCACCACGCTCGCAGCCACTCCCGGAGCTGGAGCCAAAGGCGCCGGTTCCTCCCTCGCCGTCTGTCCGTACTGCCCGAACAGGCCCATCACCTGTGACCTGATGGAGCACTTCAAGACGACCCACGGCCTGGTTGTATCTGTTCAGCCTCCACAGGAGACCCCCCTCCAGCCGGGCAGAGCAGTCAGCCGCAGCCCCAGCCTCAGTCCCAGAGACGGAGCAGCCGGAATGTCCACCACCCCCAGCGGCCAGACCCGGCTCGTCTCACGAGCTCACAGAGACGGCATCAATGGACAGGCCAGGAGTGACACCACATCCCCCGTCTCTCCGCTGGTGAACAGCAGCCCCTCAGCTGGTGGTGGATCCCCTTCAGCTGCCTCACCTCTGCCTGTGTCCCCCACTCGGGCTCCCTCTCTGACTATGTCGCCTGTGCCTGAGACCTTGAAGGAAAAGTTGGCCTCTGTCCATCTTCCAGAAAACCTTGTCCTGACCGCAGCATCTCATCCCAACCCAACTCCCGCCACTGGCCCCAAAACCCCCGTCATCTCCCCCGTCCAGAACGGGAACTCCCGCTTCTGTCGGCTCTGCAACATCAAGTTCAGCAGCCTGTCTACGTTTATAGCTCACAAGAAGTACTACTGCTCCTCTCACAGCGCCGAACATGTGAAATGAGCTCCGTGGTTTTTTTTTTCTCTGCCCCGTAGTACTTCTGTCCACGTAATCAGAATCCTAGAAGCTCCCCGTGCTGGTGGCTTCAGCATCAGCAGGTATGACTGTTACTCACCTGGCTTGCTGGCCAGTGGTGTTACTGACCGATTCTCCCTGATGGGTCAACGTTTGTCGCACACTAAGAGCTGAGACGGATGCTACCTGCTCACGCTTATCTGCCCCCCGTCCCAAAGATCTTCCTCCTCCATCGCGGCGGCGGACGTTAAAACGGCCTCCCCACCGTTTCTTTGTTAGGCTTTTAGTACGACTAACACCGACGACGCTGATTACGATGAATCTTTAGTCCTTGCTGAGCTCTTTCGGGTCCGAGCCGAGGAGTGGTTCCTCTCACGTGGAAAGAGACTCCATGGTTGTTGTTTTTATTATCTGTGGATAATGTACGATGTCTGAAGAAACAGAATTCTATGATGCTTTGGTTTCAACACTGGCTCTTTTTGGCTGAAAACACGTGGAATCACGATGTCACTAATTACTGAAGGATGTTTCAAAAACTCTTTTCTTTATTACACAGAATTTTTTATTTTCTCTTCGAAAAAACCAGAAAAAACAAGGGAGAAAAAAATGTGAAATATTTATCTTCGAGTCCTCACTGATTTCACGTCGACAGAAAACGACCTACCTGGTGTCTGAGAGTATTTGTATTTTTTATTTGTATATTTTTCATACTGTTTGAAGGATGTGTGGAACTGGGTGTGCTGAAGTGACTTTTCTAAGTGTAGATATGAAATATCTTCACAGTAATCACCGGGATCACACAGAACTTTACTATCGGAGCCGAGACGCGGCGCCACCGATTATTTCACGAAACCTGTTTTATCCGACTAGTTCTCTCCGGTAATGAAGGCACGGCGGTGAGCTCTCGCACGTTACGTGTTTACGCGTTCCCATGCGGCAGTGTTAGCTAAAACTGTACAGTACTTCTTTATTTTCCCGTTTTTTGGATGCGAGCGAGTGGAAGGCATCAGGACGCGAGGAGGTGGGCCGCCACTGACGTTTTGATTTGTGGAGACAATCAGACACAATCAGTGAGGCGATTCGATTGGCCGGCACTTAAACCACACGGACCTGCAACTCGACTCGCCGCAGAAAACGTCACCACGTGAATTCTGGCTCATCCTGGTTTCTAAGCGTGTTGTTAAGACGTGAAATAAAATTCACAACAGAGTTAGCTGCTTTCTTCGAGTTCTCTCAGAATTTACCTCCTTTTTTGGTCTCTCGTTTCGGACCTGATGTGACCTCACTTGTAAATATTTTGTCCCGCCCAGAATTATCCACCATTAGAAAGCAAAGACCATCTTATAAAGGTTTTATAAAACAGCTTAAAGGTTCAAGATGTGGAATTCAGTGTCATCTAGTGGCTAGCTACTACTGTTCCAACCCTCTGGGGCTGGGAGTCGGATTGTCCCCTCTGTGTCCCCGTAGAGCAGTCTGCGGGATTATTTCCCAGGAGAATCACAATTAAATAAATGAAAGAATTAAACTAAATTAAAAAACAAACATGTAATAAGTTGCAGCAGATAGAAAGAACAGCAGCTGCGTCACAGAAACATTTTACAGCTAAAAAATCTCACTGAGTGATATTTTGGTTTTGTTTTCGCCCAAAATCTGTTGTTTGTTTGCAAACCAGCAAGATTTTAACTAAACTGGAAGCTATCAGACTGAAATCTGCGCCGTCTCTAAGCCAGCTCAGGACCCGGACCAAGGTCAGCTGTTAAATCTACTTCTCTACTGGGGTCAGAGGTCAACCACACTCAGGATGAGATGAGCAGGGTTTCTTCTAAAGGAGAAACTGAGACAAAGGTGTGTATTAGTAAAGTTCAGACCAGGTTCTTTAGTATCTCAATCCTTCACGTTTTAGATGTCTGTTGTAGTTGGAAACATCTAAAACATGCCGGACGTGACCCCGCCGGACCTGGACTGGACTCCACGGCTCAAAACCTGCAGAATAAAAGTGAAGGAGCTGCTTCAGCTTTTAAAGGAAGTTATTATTTTTTTTTATTTTAAGGTTTCATTTTAGGTTATAAATTAAAATCTAAACATTGCCTAATATTGTGATTAATATATCATTAAATTTTTGTGTCACATTCCCCACGTTCTGGATGTCCTGGCTTCTTAGAGCAGCAGGGATCCAGCCGGTCGACTCGCTGGTTTTAATTATTGCAATCCCTTTTCCACGCTCATCAATACTATTATTGATAAATCAAGCAGCCCAACTTTAAAACATTAAAATCTATTTGTCTCCTCACTAATATTCCCTTTAGTTAAGGTTTCAAATATAAAGTTAATTATTGGAAACGTTTGTTTTATTTGTATCCTAAACATCCCGAATCTGAAGCTATTCATCATCTCTGGCCCATTTGTGGCACCAGAACTAATGAAAACATTAAGAACTGTGAAAATTAGCTGGATTTTACACAAAAGGTGGGAAATGGAAGAAACCCCTCATTTGTGAACAGCTCGGCTGGTTTTCGTGTAGCCCAACGCATGTCTGATGGAAATTTACTGCCCGAAAAACCTCGTTACAAAAGACCAACATCAACACAAACTCAGAACTGGTCATTTTTATGAATCAGCTTGTTTCTTCTATCCAGTTTAGACGTTACACGCTCTCACTTCCTGTTTGTTTGTTTTTAACAGAATTCTGTTTTCTGGTTGGCTTTCTGTCCTGCTGCTGTTTACAGATGTTCTGTTCTCTTGAACCAGAGAAGCCATCATGTCAGCTGGTCACACGTTGAGGATCTGAGAGTCCTCTGAACGCACCCCCGTTTTGTTGCACTGTGTCGTGTAAAAATGTTTTATTTTGATGTATTTATGTTACGCAGCACTTTTCCCGTCCTGAATGCATCTTCTTTCTCCTCGAAGGACTTTCTGAAAGCTTTGAGCCTTGACAGAAAAGTTTGAATAGATTCTCAACATGTTTTTGTTCCTGATTCTTTTGTCTTTAATGGAGAAAAAGCACCGTGAATGTCTACACTTTATTTCCTCCTTTCATTTCCTTTCAGCTCCACTACACTCTTGTCCAAACTATGCATGGGAAATAAAAAAAAAAGTTCTGAGAGACACTGACGGGTGACGTGTGGCTCAGCTTCTTTCTGCGATCCTGAGAGGAAGTCCTTGATTTCTCTGAGTGAGCGGAGTCGCTCAGAAATTATTTCCTTTCATTAGAAAATGTCGTTTTCTGTGTGAAAGCGTTCCAGAAGAAAAGGCTGAATGAATCATCAGCCTTGCTTTTAAAAACGTGTGTGTGTGTGTGTGTGTGTGTGTGTGTGTGTGTGTGTGTGTGTGTGTGTGTGTGTGTGTGTGTGTGTGTGTGTGTGTGTGTGTGTGTGTGTGTGTGTGTGTGTGTGTGTGTGTGTGTGTGTGGTCATTAAAAATGGCCTAACCATGATGTCTTCTGCTCTACCAGCGGCAGCCAGTGTCTCTCGTTTGTCTGACTACTTTCATAAACTACTGTTAGGCCAATTTAATCTAATTAATTAGAGGCTTTCAATTAATTAATCTAAATTAATCGCATTTTTAGAGTCTTTCTGTTTTAACTTAAACTTCTGTTTTCAACTTTAAGACACGTTGTTTGTGATTGTTGACAGAGTAGTGAGAACACGGAGCGTTCTCCCAGCGGCAGCCAGGTGTCTCCCGTTTGTCTGACTACTTTCATAAACTACTGTTAGGCCAAAGAATTATTCTGTCGGGAGCTTTCAGCGCTGCAGAGATGTTACATAAATGCTAAAAATATAGCTTACCACAACTTTTATAAAGTTTCCGGTGCCACCAGGCAGCCGCAGCAGAGACGATCTCTGAAAAATGTCCGCGACACGGACTCCGTTGTCTAGAAGTTTTTTTTTCCAAGTTAAGAAAAGAGGCGGACAGGTTCCCTAAATCCTGCATCAGTCAAAGCAAGGCAACTTATTTCTGTTTTTATTCCGTTTTAGTAGCCATTAGCACTGTGCATTGTTGTTTGCGTCAGTGATATTCGGTCTACGAGGAAATCGTGCAATGACAAAGGTTCCGCCTTTCTCGAAATGCAAGCTGTGATTAAATGCGTTAATTTTTTTAACGCGTCATTTTTTTCTAATTAATTAATCATAATTAACGCGTTAAAGTCCCGGCCCTAGAAAGATTCAGGCAGCTGGGAGGAACCCGAACATCACTTCTGTCACCGAAGCAGCAGGAAAGGCTTGAACAGAACAAAAGCACGACGGCTGGACGAGCGCCAGTGGCGGAGGACAAACTTCTCATGTTTTCTCTTGGTGAAGATTTCCTGTGGTCAGAATTTGATTGAAAGTATTTGATTGTTTAAAGGCGTTTATTTTGGTAGGGACTTCTAGTTTCCATAACTATACCTTTACCCACACTGAGGCGAGTTAATTGCTAAAAGAGAAAAACACCAAAATGACTGTAGCGTTATTAAGAATGTCTTTTTCTTGCAGAAGAGATTAATTTTTAACATTATACAACGGGATTTAACTGATTTCAGAGGCCTGCGCTGGAGCAAAAGCTCTTATTTTTGTTTATACTCAGGGACTCAGAAGTGTTCGCCATCAGCTGATAAAACCCTGGAATCAAGAGCACTCGAGACAAACAAGCTGCTGCAAACAACTCCTGTAGTGGCTCCTTTCAGCCCAACAGGAACCTGTTGCTGCTGTCGGAGATCTTCAAAGATGAATCGCTGACACGTGTTTCCCATCCACCAGCTGACAGCTGGGGTCCTGCAGCGGATCAGAGCCGAGGATGAAAGGGACTGTTCCTGCATCAGGGAATCAAAGTCCCAGGAGGTCGTTCCACGCACGTCGATGTTCTTCTTCTGCACACAAAATGTTCAAGTTGTTCCTCTAAAGAACAAAAGATCTATCAGCAGGAACAGATCAGTCATTCGTCGGTCTGAGAGCTTCTGAGGCGAAGGTGTGTCGATCCTGCAGGTTTCTCTGGGTTTTGTGAACTTTGTGGTATTCTTTAATCTGTTACTTCATCAGTGGTAAAAATGAACGTTTGAACCAAACTGCTGCAGCTTGGCTCCTTACTAGGGGGCGCTCTCATCTCAACGCGAATGGATTAGAATCCGCTGAGGAAGAAAAACTAAAGAAAACTGTTTGAATTTGGTGTTTTTAGCTCAAAGGTCAGGTCAAGTCTGTTATATTAAAATTTGTAACTTTTCCTGGAATTTAGTTTTTGTATCTTGGAAATCTGAAAGAGTATTAGAATGATTGAGATATCTGATATATAATCATGAGGATACTTTCTTTGCAGATCTTAAACATTTTGAGCTGGTGAAGCTGGAAGAGTCGGAAGCTTCAGGCTGTTGGTGGGAATGACTCACCAATAATACAAGCTCCTCTCGTCTCCATTAGGAATGTGTGGACAGCTCTGGGATTCTCCCTGACACTGGAGAATTGTTATGATTGTTTTTGTGAACTTTGTGGTATTCTTTAATCTGTTACTTCATCAGTGGTAAAAATGAACGTTTGAACCAAACTGCTGCAGCTTGGCTCCTTAGGGGGGCGCTCTCATCTCAACGTGAATGGATTAGAATCCGCTGAGGAAGAGAAACTATTTGGATTGATCCATCTTCAGAAGAAGTGTGCAGGAAGGGGAATGAATGATGCGGTCTGAGAATGGGAAATGCATTTAATAACTCTCCATCAAACAAACACTGCAGACAAGCATTTCCTCTGCTGATTAAAGAGCCGCTTTGCGTCTGAATCAGAAATGAAGGAAGGCTTTAGAGCTGGAATGAACGTAAACCAGAAACATCACATAACTGATTGTTATTGTAAATAAAATAATATTTTAAGTCTAAACATCAGAGGAGCTGATCTGGACGCTCCTAACTAGAACACAAACTGGTGTTAAGAAAAGATGGTGGATTCCTCATCAGCTGCTGGTCTGGCTCACTGTGACAAACAACAAGGTAATTTAATGATAAGAAATGACCCAAACTTGTGTAGTACCTTTCAGAGCCAGAGGACTCCAAAGTGCTTTACTGTACAGTGAATAATTCCATTTTTGGTTCTTTTTAAAACACAGGAAAGGTTTCTCTTTACCTTGCTGACAGTTTCGTTTGCAGCTGCAAACTTCCTCAGAGCTGACGCTGATGGTGGCGTCACTTCCTACTCCGTTTATCAGCGGGCAGCAGAGGACGTTGTCGCCCTCTGCTGCCCGCTCTCCCCTCTCCGATGACGCAGTCCCATGCACGATCCAATGTGTAGACCCCATCGTCCCTGCTGCCCGCGGATAAATGGAGTAGGAAGTGACGCCACCATCAGCGTCAGCTCTGAGGATGTTTGCAGCCACAAACGAAACTGTCAGCAAGGTAAAGAGAAACCTTTCCTGTGTCTTAAAAAGAACCAAAAATGGAATTAGAAACTAGACACAGTAAGAACGTACCAAAGATGTACAGTGAATAAGTCATCCATTCACACCACACACACGATGATGAGCTACGATGTAGCCACAGCTGCCCTGGGGCGCCACTGCTCCCTCTGACCACCACTAGCAGATAAGGTGGGTTAAGTGTCTTGCCCAAGGACACAACAGTAGAATTCTCTGTCAGGAGCCAGAATCGAGCCCGCAACTTTCCAATTACTGGACAACCTGGTCTACCTGCTGAGCTACTGCTGCCCCTTAAGTAATAAGAGAAAATCTGAGAGTGCAGCAGAAGTTTCATATAACATACAGTCATGAACTCAGACACACACACACTCCACTCCAATTCATCAGCTGAGTCCACGCGGACATTTACAGCCTGCAGGGAGAAGAAAGGAGTTCAGAACAATCGAATCAACTCACAGTTTCTAATCTGCTGCAGCTTCTAGACGGGCTTCTGGAGGCCGATCTGCTCCAGACTCCGCTGTCAGCATCATTCTGCTCCATCTTCATCACTAAACAACATCAGCAGCAGCTTAACGAAGCAGGTTTGTCTAACAGACCTCATTACTGCCCTTCATTAGCATGATCCTTGCATCCATAAAACAAACAAGTGCAATTTCAGTCATTCTGTTAAGCCTACAAGCCGTTCCTTCAAAAAGAAAAAATGCAAACACTAAATTAAAATTCAGACCTCAAACGGCTGACATTAATGAGCCCAACAAAAGAGCTGCTCGGGGTTTAAAACCTGAAATGAATCAACATACAGCTAATTACCAGTGTTGTAAATTATTGTAATCTTCATCGTGAACTCGTGACCTTTTAACTGGACCTGAACGACAAAGACATGATCAGCTCTATAGTGGATTTCTGCTTCTCGACTTTTTCAAAGCTGCACTAAATCAAAATCATTCTGTTCGTCTGCACAACAGGAACCGATCCAAACTCTCAGAAACTGTTCTTCATCATTTGTAACATCTGCAAAGTTCAGCTCCTTTATCTTTTCTGCTAAAGTTGCTGGAAAAAATAAAAAATAAAATAAAAAACACGTTTTCATCAGAAGCATGAATCAGACCTACAGACGACAGTTCCTCTGACGTCGTTCGGATCCGTCAGCAGGATAAAAAACAGTGACAAACGCACGATTGTGACAGAGGAGTGCCAAGAAGGATCAGAGCTAAACGAGGAAGAAGAGTTTCGATTTCCAAACCGTGTTTCGTCATTGTGTTTTTCTGTGCTGACAGCTTGTGGCACACAGAGACAAAGAGCAGGAGGAACTGTAAGGAGCTAAAAATCCTTGAAGTTCTTCTCACATGTTGCAGAACAGCTACACTATTAGAGTGAGACGTCACTTCAGTGGTGCCCGCGTGTTCAGATCTGCACACTCTGAGTGGATTAGTCACCAAACTGTTTTATTTGCAGCAAAGTCACAGATATGATTGTTTGAAGTCTGGAGAAGAAGAAGAAGAAGAAGTCCAGCAGACGAATCAACTTTCTGCTGGTCCAAACAGACCACAGAACCACTGCGCCGATGCAGGGAAACATGGCACACGACTGGTGGCGGTCTGTCCTACAGGTGATGTAGGCGACCGCCTGGGGCTCCAAATGGTCTGGGACAAAATAAAATCACTGAAAGGAACACTTAATGGAAAACGTTCAGTGTTGGATAAAATCAGGACCTGTGATCCGGTCCAAACCAGAATCCT